ACATATACAATTCTCAGCTGAATTTTACTCAGAATTCTTCCTTTTAACCAAAGGTATATCTCAATTTTAGTCTTTTTGCTTCAAAGTTCAAATAACTATTATTTTATACAGCCAAATGACCAGTGTTTCCAATCTTATTTAATTTGTTACCCAGTTTTAAGATAAGCAAAAATTGATTTGTAATTTGCAGCTATTTCTTCTTCTAAAAGTTCCAGGCATTCCTCTTGTCTATATATTTGCTAATTTGAAGAATTATTATTTATCGAACTTATACTAAAATATTTATCTTGACACCATGAAACTTCTAAAATTTCACCTTTCAAAAGCACAGAAGAGCCCCTTTTAAATGTTTTTGTCTCCTCTGTTCCCAGTAGACAGATGGGGACAGGTGCAGCCCCTGCCCTCCCCTCCCTGCCAATTGGTTCTGGTCTCCATCACCACAAACCCAAGATCATCAGGGGAAGTTCTAACTGTTCTTTAGCAACAGGTAGTCAATCACTCATTTTACAGGAAGTCAGGAAGGATTGTAAAATACCTTTGGAGGTCTGCCAGTGGCATTGAAGCTACTTTCAGCCTGGAGAGTGGCCACAGTCTTTAACACTGATGATGTAAATATGGGGAATTCATCAAACTAATACTAAAGAGAGGGTTTGACTGTCTTTTAAAATTAAGTGGTTGCACCAGAAATCCCAAAGTCCATATTTCAAGTAATGTGAAATTTACAAAACGCTATCTAGAATTTAAGAAACAGAGTTCTGGGGCTAACAAAATCCTCTGTCATGTCTAAAGATCAGTTTTTAAATGACAAAATGGTGATATTTATTTATATTTTATTTTTTAGTTGTAGACTTTATTTCATTTTTATGTGGTGCTAAGGATCAAACCCAGTACCCCACGTGTGCTAGGCCAGCACTCTACCATTGAGCCACAACCCCAGACCTACATATTAAGACATTGTTCCCTATGACCAGAAAAATACAGATACAGACTCTTTACATTAAATTACATGCTATCTATCTAAGGAATTTAATTAATGATAAAGGGTTCCAAAGAGAAAAGCTATGCAAACTCTTGGGATGTGGGGGCTCCCTGTGACTTACTGCTTCCTCTGCTTGCTTTCTGCCTGAGGTAAACACCCACATCCCTTGCAAATAACACACCACACCATGTTTTTTGTGTTTTTTTTTTTTTAATATGAGCTTTCTTTGTGTGTGTGTCAATTACTCCCTTAATCCTTGAACTATCAAGCTCAAGGAACCAGTTACCAATTAAATCAACAAACTCCAAGGCTAATTAATTGGCATAAGAACAAATGGAGGAAGTTCTATCACTGCAAGAAAGATAGGTCTTGTCATTTTGTTCTATTCCAATGTTATTCTTTTTTTTTTTTTTTAGGTCCCAGTAAAGGTATTCAGAAAAATAGTCATCAAGTGCAATCATTTGAGGAGAGAGGAAGGGAGTACCAAAAGTATTAGACTAACAAAAACTGCTAGGCACAGTAGTGCACACCTGTAATCCCAGCAACTTGGGAGGCTTAGGCAGGAGAATCACAAATTCAAGGCCAGCCTCAGCAACTTAGCAAGGAAGGTCCAAAGCAATTTGATGATACCCTAAGCAGTAACCATCTCAAAAAAATAAAAAGGGGGCTGGGGACTTAGCTCACTGGTAAAATGCCCCTGGGTTCAATCTTCAGAAAACAAAAAGAAAAAAAAAAAAGTACATTAATGAAACCTTAGCCAGAATTCTGTAGTATCTTCTTTGTAGTGGGAACAGTAAATAAAACTTGAGTAAATGATAGGCCACCCCTCTACAATGTCTGTTTTTTTATTCCCCATTTTAAAACTCTGTTGTGATTTAAATGGATTCCAAACTAATTTCAATATTTTTAAATATGCCAATATTTATCTTAAGAATATAATGTTTAGGGATTTTTTTTTTTTTTTGGATTTTGGATAGAATTGTTACAGTTTTGTCATTGTCAGTTAAGTTGTGTTCAAAGAAACACATTAAATCTACTAAAAAATGCAACTCTCAGTAACTACTCCCAGCAAACTTTGCTGAAATTCATCTTAATTAATTTAACAAAGGATATTAAATGTACTTTATATGTACATCACCTTTCATAATGTAGCAAAGGTGCTCTTTGTTCTTACTCTGGTGCTATCTTGTTTTTTTTTTTTTTTCTCTTTTAAAGTCCTATCCATTCCCTGACTTTTGCAGGTTAAACTGACATATTGTAAAATTACCAAGTAATCATGTGACTCAGCCATTCCAGGTTATTCAAGCAAACAATTTTTCCACACAACATCCAAAAGTGCTGCTAGAATAGACACAAATTTACTATATAATTCCACACCCTTTCACTTTATTCCCAAGCAGCAGAAGATATTAAACATGAGAAACAGTTACCTGACTCATTTGATGTACTAAGGTTAGTACACCTTGTATCTAAATTGTCATATGCATGGACAATCACCATTGTCTCTGGAGATGCTACAGCATTTGAGGACAAATAAGAAAAAGAATATACTTGTGTGCGTGTGTGCATGTGTGTGTGTTATATTGTTTTCATTTTCATCCTGACTCTTTGACTTGAATTTTCTGGATTTTTTAAAACTATGGTAGAGACAATACTCCAATGGAAAATCATTTCTCTTCATAAAATCAACCATCAACTTCTTTCTTTTGTTAAGCAGCCCCCTACGTTTTTTACATTCTGCCTTCTTCCCATCCGCATGGTGCAGGAAAGAGAACGTTTTCATTCCAGGGAACATTGGTTAGAATGCCACCCTTGCCTGAGCATCCACCAACATCCCGAGGTGGATTCCCTGGGCGTATAGCTAGCCGCCTGTAACTCCCAAGGGATCTAAATACTGAGGGTTACACCCATCTCGCTGAGGAAGACGATGGTCCAGCAATCCCCCAAAAGACGCACTGAAGATCAGGTCTCCATTGTCACGTTCCCACCCAGAGGGGAGATCTCAAAAATACACACCCCACCCCACCTGGAGAGGTCTGGCCATAGAGACCCACCGGCGTAATGAGTAGGGCAAGCCCCTGGAGGCCCCAGCCAGGTAGCCACCGGGACCCAGCCTAAGCTCCCAGCCAAGGCTCGGCCCCGCCCCGCCCCGCCCCGCCCTGCCCTGCCCTGCCCCGCCCCTAGCCTCGCCTCCAGTCTAGCCCCCGGCCCGCGACTAGTGGGTCAGCGCACGCGCGTCGGTGAGCCTGGCCACAGCTCCTAGTCGGCTCCCTGCGGACCTCCCAGGCGTCGCGCTGGGGCCAGGACACCACCGCGAGAGGGTGTGAGCTGGAGGGAGCGCGAGGATGTTCCAAGTCCGCGTAAAAGATGCGAGAGTGGGTGCGCACCGGCGTACGGGACTAAGAGACCGCCCGGTGACCACCCAGTCTCCATTTTATTTCCTCAGAAATTGTCGGGCAGGCGGGGCACGGCCTCAGGGCGGGGTCTCTCCCTGCCGGGGGCTAGCGAGACCGTTAGGCTGGAACACCGGAGACGGTCCTGGCAGTTCAGGCCGCCACCCGCGCCGCAATAAAAGCCTCTCGCGGCTTCCCGCCCAGCCAGCCTAGCTCTGATTGGTCGCCATGGGAGGGACCCGAGTTGGCTGGAGGCGGCGGCCGCCGCTGCTCCGGTGCCGCCTGCGGCGGGGGACGCTGGGTGCTCCCCGGCCCGCCCCGCGCGCTTCTCCACCGGGGCTCTGCCCTCCAGGGCAGGTACAGCGGCACCTGGCAGCGGTGTTTGCGAAGCACTGCCCCCGCCGCCCGGCTTTCCGCCGGCGCTTTCCAGCACACGTTCCTCACCGACTGTCCGCCCAACCCACCCAACCCTCTGCGGCCCCAGCTCCTTTTCTTCGTCCCCTCCCGTTTGTCAGCGCCAAAGCACAAATCCTTGGGTGGGGTGGGGGAGCAGCTGAACTGGAGGGTGGGCAAGCACAGAAGAATTTTGCAGGGAGGCCGAGATGGAAATAGTCAAAATGAAATGCGCCTCCCTCCCGGCTGCTTAGGTTCTCTGGGCGGCGGCACAGCCCCCGCTACCCGCGGCAACGTCCCTACAGTCTTCCTCCCAGCTCCCTATTGTTCGCACTTTGCCGGGATCAGAAACCTCGCCCAAAGAAAGGAGACTGGGGCGAGGTGTTTCGGGCGGCTACCTGCCATTCTTCTCTGGCACCGTGCAAAACTGGGTTCGCGGTGCGTGTAAAGGCACACGCGCGCACACACACATCAGGCAGTCCAGATCACGCCCTCCTCGCCCTCCGCCCCTCTGCACTTCCTCCTGTCAAAACGCGGCGCTCGACCCTCCCATCCCTCCGTGCTCCCGGCCGAGGGCAGGCTTTGCAACTAACCAGCAATTTGGCAAATGAAAAACTAACGTCATATGGACGGGGGTGCAACAACGGCCACACAGCCCTGCGATTCTGCCCATTTCGCCCCATTTTACAAACCGTTATTCGTCCCAGGGAGGTGGGGCGAAGACGGCTAGTCCCACTTTATTACACCCGGGGAAATAACGATTAGGGGTGACTGTCCCAGCCTTATTGTTCACTCTTCCTGGAGCCGGGGCTGACAAGCCCCTTCCTCGCGGAATGCGAGGCTGTGCGGAGGCACCACCCGAACCGCGGCATCGCCCGCCCCGCTGCCCGCCTTCGGGGAAGGAGCGCTGCCCATCGCCAGCGCGGCCACAGCGTCCCCGGGAGCCTTCTAGCCCTCTCCTATCGCCGCCCGCACACAAAGTGGGAAGGACGGACGCTCAGGAGGGGCACGGAGCGCTCGCGGCGCGGGGAAGCAGCCCCGGTCCAGCGCAACCCGGGAGGGCGCGGGGTTCGGCTGGGCAGCAAGGGCGACGCACTCCTTTCTCAGCTCAACGAAAATGACCCGTCTTAGCGTTCCACATAAAGCCACCCCAAATAACAGTGTTCCTCATGGGAGGCGTAGGTGGAAGAGACAATTAGCAAATCAGATTGAGAATTATCAACAAAAAAATGTACCTGCAGTTCCCAGGAAAAACAAAGTCCAGATGAGATCCTTAGTTTGCAGCATTGTAATCTGCTGGCTGGGAGTGATGTTCTTGCCGCGATAAATTCTGTGGCCCCCCCTTGCAGCGAGTGTGGACGGCGGCAGAGCAACAGACCTAGGGGCAGACAATTGCCAGGCTGAGTATGATTATTTTTGCAGAATTGTTTCCTGCCAGCGGCTGCCGAGCTGCGTTCACGCGCTGATCGGAGAATGAGTGACAGTCCCAGCCTCAGCACACTCGCAACTCGGAGATCCTTGCGCTGGCCCGGGTTCGCTTTGATGGAACTGGGGATGGGAGCGGGGGGGCGGGGGGCGGGGGTGAGAACCTCACTGTGTCCTTCCACCACGCCGGCCACAAATAGTGCCGAACATCAAGGAGGTAAAAGAGACAGGGGAGGCAGATGCAGCCGCCTGCAAAACGCGGCCTGGAGCTACCAAGGGAGCCGGGCTCTTTCACAAGCAGTCTCCCTGGCAGAACTGGGATTTCTTCTTTTCACACTTTCCCTTCATGCTTTCACGGTCCCTCCTGCCACCCTGTCTTTCTTAATCAGGATTTTGGATATTTTAATAACTAGTAAAAATAAAAACAAAATCTTGGATGATTTGGTTAGATTTTTCAAAGTTGTGGAATCCCTTCATTTAGATCCTAAGAGCCTTGCAACACAGGACTACTTTTTTTTCCTCCAAGTGCAGAAAATTAGAAATTTGAAGAGGGATGGTGGTTACTCTTGCTGGATTCTTTTGTGTGTGTGTGTGTTGTTTGTTTGTTTTATCCTGGCTTTGAAGTTTGCTCTTCCACAGAGAGGCAACACAAGACCAGGCAGCAGCTCCCAGGGGAAGGAGGTGGAAAGCAACTTAAGTAGAAGAAAATGCAGATGTTTAAAAGAAATTTCTAGAAATAATCTGAAGAAAACCTTTTTCTTGTTTACCACTACTGAAATCTGTGGTCTTATTTTTAAAACAGACAAGACTTTTATGTACCTATACCTTTTTTGTAGGTATTATAGGAGCAACCTTAAATAATATTTTCCTTCATCAGGATACAACATCGATTCTTAAGGATATTAATGTAGAATATTACTGAGATACAAACACAAAGACTTCAATTAATCCTTCAGCTGTGTATTAAAAAGAAGGGGTGAGGGTGAAAAGAAACAGGTCTCAGCACCTGAGCAAGGCTTGCATGTAAGAGGAGGATGTCCAGAAGTGGGATTGCCCTGTAGCTCTGCCCAGTGATACCCCTGATCCAGGAAGATGTCATGGGCCAGAATCACCAAGCACTGCCATTTTGTTTAAAGAGCAGGCTCCCTATTGCTGTTGCACATTTTAGAAACCCATCTTCTGCTGGCTGAGCCGCCACCCTTCATCTCTGGAGAGGCCCAATCTCCTCGCCCTCTCCTCCTGTCCTCTACCAAGCAGGCCACACCAACACACTGTGACCTGGAGAGACTTTTAAAAGTGCTTTCTCCCCTAAACCAATCCTTCCCATTTACTCTTGTAATATTCATCTTCCATCAATTATAAACAATTCAAAAATACAGAAAAGTAGAAAGAAGGCTCTGAAAATAATCCCAAGGCCCACAAATTTCAGAGATACCCACAAATTTTATAAGTCTTCTATCCATCCATGTGACTTTTATAATGGGTATACTAGAGTTGCAATTTGGAATCTGTGGAGTCTGCCTGTTTTCCTTAATGTTTCATTATAAGCATTTCCATGGAGTTATTAAAAAGGTTTTCTAAATATTTTTAAAACTAATATTTCTTCCTAAGGGTGATTCTTCAGTTGTTCCCCCAACACTGGCTATTTATATTGTTTCCAGATTTTGATAATATAAACAATGCTTTTTTGAACATCTTTCAATAAATATTTGTTGAACAACCACTGTGGCTTGGTGTGATGAACCATATATGCTATTGTTTGTATCTGGATTGTCCCCCAAAGGCACGTATGCTAAAGACTTGGTCCCTAGGGTGGCCATATTGGTAGACGGTGGAAACTTTAGGTTGTGGAGCCTACCAGAAAGGAGCCATTGGGTGTTCCCTTGGAGGAGAAATTGGAAAATGGTCCCTCTTCTCTCTCCTCTACTTCCCAGAGATGAGGAGGTAAGCTGTTTCCCCTGCCATGCTCCCCACAACCACCATATACAACTTTGCCACAGGCCCAAAAGCAGCAGGGCCAAGCAACCATGCACTTAAAACTCTGAAGTTGTGAGGCAAAATAAAAATTTCCTTTTTATAAGTTGTATGTCTAACGTACTTGACACAGCAACAGAAATTTGACTCTCTCTCTTCATATGTGTGTGTGTCCGCCAGCATGCTAATACGCAAAATTACCCCATGAAATTTTATAAATATATGTATATGACCAAATCAGATTTTTTCCTAAAGAAGAGGTTCTAATAGTAGAGAATGAAGTGAATAGGCCAGGGCTTAAAGGGATATGAAGGTTGGAGGACCCAGAACAAATTTTTTCTAATTTTACACCAATAGTGAGAGACACACTCTTTCCTGCAAACCTCCCTCCTTTTAGCCCTTGTCAGTAAAATTAAAAGATTCCTCGCTATTTTTCTTCCCAAATGTCCCTATTTTTAGCTTTTCAATGTAGACAAGTGTGGAAATCCTATCTCACTTCAGCATGACTGAGTTTTTTTTTCCCCTCTCTCTCTCCAGCCCCTCCCTGCCCCATGTAGCTGTGGATCTCTGTTGTAATGACTCATTCTAGAATTCTGCCCCAGTTACTCCAGTCCACACTGAGTATCTCTCCCATGTTCTTTTAACAGAGTGCCTCACTTGTCTCCAGTTCCTCAGCTCTGCACTGCATTGCATTTCAATTCTTCCCTGAACCTCAGTTTAAAATGGGACAAAACTGCTGCCCTCCCCAGACCTCTCTCCCCAGAGAGCGTCCCAAGCTGTCAGGCACACACACATCAATGAGCATCTACTGTGCAAAACATCCATGGGATGGAAACAGGAAAAAGACACCCAGACTGAGCTAGAGAGGGAGGTTTGTTAGTAAATCAGAGCATGGTCTAAGAAGACAGCCATAGCAAGGAGGCCAGGGTGGTGTGGAACATCCTAATTGAAGGCAGTGGGGCAGTGGGAAAGGAAGCAAAGAGGAGCACGGACTTGAGAAACACTCCAAGAACAAAACAGAACTTTAGAACTTTCCATCGGAGTCTGAGGCAGAGGAAGAAATCCACGTTCCTTTATGTACTTGACAAATATGTTTTGAGTATCAACTGAGTGTCTAATGCTACTATAAACATGAGGGACAAAAGCAAGTCTTAACCCTCTTCACCTTCTATACTTATGGAGAAGACAGAAATCATTAGACATCTAGTATATAAATGGCGGTAAATACCAATAAGGAGGGGTAAGGGTAGGGACTTCTGGGGTGAGGAAGGATTATCATTTTGTACAGGGAAGCAATATAAGGATATTTGACAAAGATCTAGAAAAAATGATGACTCCAGAGTCTCCAATGTGGGCAGTTGAACAACTGCTGGTGATAGAAACGGGGAGTAGCTGGGAGAGGAGATTCAGACTAGGCAATGGGCAAAGGAACAGTTATGTCAGCTGTAGAAACACTAAGTTTGAGGTGTTTGAGGGATATCTAAGTGCAGATGTATAGAAGACAAAACATCAGAGTTTAAGATATGGGCAGAAGGAATTACCAAAGAGATAGTAGAAAAGCAGTCAGAAAGAAAAGGAATTGAAACATCAAGACAGTGTCACAAAACCTATAGGAAAAGAAAGTCTTGAAATGGTCCAGAAAGATGAAAGTTTAAAAGAGTTTCCTGGATATAATTGTTAGCAAGTCCTTAGTGGTCTCCAAGAGCATTCATGGAGTAGTGGGAAAGGGAGACGTCACTGAGCCAGAGATGTAGACCACTCTCCCTAGCAATGGATGATAAAGAAGTATAGATAATGGCAAAGAAGAAAGGGGACTTGAAAGGGATTTTCTTCTCTTTCAGTATGAGAACTTTGTTATCAGGCTATAAAATAAATTAAATATAGTTATCAACTCCTGGTCACTCTCCATTATCTTATGCACTAACTCGGCTTTGAAAAATGAACTTGGTCTAGAGTAAAGTGCCCCTATTTAAAGCTTCTTCTCCTATTGCTGTTTTGAAGGGGGACCCCAGGTATGACCCCAGAACTCACAGCTACCCTAAGAGTTCTATTTCATTATTGACATGGGCGAAATGCATTGTGGGAAGCACAGCAGCTTAAGACCAAAGCAGATGACTTGGGACTACAAGAAGCTGGAAAGCATTGTGTCCAAAGCACTGAGCATGAGCCAGGAAAGCATCGGGCCCGGGAGGTGTAATCAAACTCCAAACCTAAAGAGTAAAAGTCTCTAGGGAATCCTCAGAGCTTATTCCTAGCTTCTTATATTCTGGATCTGGTTGATACCAGAAATTACTTCTAAGCTTTACTACATGCTAGAGCTGAATCGACATGCTTCCCTCCCTATTCAAAGCTGATTCAGGTCTTGACGAAGAATTCCTGGACACTCAACAGTCAATTCAGCTGAAAGATACTAGGAACTCCCAAAAGCAGGGGAATGAAACAGTTGACCCAGAACCACTGCTTCTCTGTGGCAAGTTGTGCACTGCACAACTTCAAAGGATGCCTTTCAAATCCCACTCTTCATATATTAATAGAGTTGTTATGACAATTTTTCTGGCATCAATGAAGAAAGGATTTTTTTTTCCTTTTTTTCTTTTTCTTTCTTTTTTTTTGGTACAAGTTTATTAGAGAGTGATTTCAGGATCAACAACTGTGTTGTTGGGCAAAAAAACAGACTGGAAAGAAAGATAAAGAGAGCCACAGGAAGGCCCAACAAGGCCTCAGTCCTGGGAGAACACTGAAACTAGTTGCAATATGCTCACATTGACCGGTCACCAAATTCAAGCCACCCCAGAATTATGATCTGACCTTGGAAGAGGAAGCTATCTACAGTCTAGGGCAACTTGCAAGTGAAGACTGAGAGCTGAGTGTAGCCCCACCATCTGGAGAAAGACCCTTTCAAAGGAGAATCTGAGCAGCTTAGCCTAGCTTAGGCTACTACAAGAGTTTAGCTCTAAATCAAAAATCAAATTTGGGAAAATTATTTTCCTGTCTTTTTTGTTGTTGTTGTTGTTATGGTAAAATATACTATATCCATAACATAAAACTTGCCATTTTAACATGTATAGTACTTGGCATTAAGCGTATGTACATCATTGTGCAACTATCATCACCATTCATTTCCATAACTTTCTTCTTCC